ACTGTCTCAGCATTAATTAGAGCATGTCAAATTTATAAGCTTAAACGCTTTGTGGATACACTGAGAAGAAAATCAACGTATAAAAGAACTAATGTGGCGTTGGTGTCCTAGTGGTGGCTACCGGACTCGTAATCGTGAGGTTGCGGGTTTGGGGGTTCGAGCCGGGGGCCCGACGTTGTGTCCTTGGGAAAGGCACTTTACACTAATTTTTCTCACTTCACCCGGTGGGAATGGGTACCCGGCCATAGACAGCGAAAGATCTTGTCAGTATGTTAGTATGTTGAGGTTATTTCAGAATGCTCTGAGGTCTGCTGGGGTAATAGTATAGATTGTGAAGCGCATAGAGCTTGCTGTTGAGTGGGGATTTTCGCTATAAAAATGCTATCTATTATTGTTATTATTACATGTATTAAAGCAACCAACTTGTGTCCTGCATGCTCAAATGACCTATTGCAAGTACCGTAAGACTCACACCAGTCAACCTAAACTGAGACCATGAGATCAACAGAAGAATATGGTGGTGGGTTGGGCACACTCTTTGGAAGCCAGCCCACATTGTGGCAAGACAACATCTGGGATGGAATCCCCAAGGGAGAAGGAAGAGAGGAACGCCAAGATCCATTGGGTAGGGAGATCTGGAGATCTCTGACAGATAGGAAAAGTTGGCCTGAGGCAGAGATGATCACACAGAATCAAAACAAGTTGAAATCCTTTCTTTGTGGCCTATCAATTAATACACGTACACATGCACTGGGGTAAATGAGGCACAGAGCGAGAGAGAAAGAGAGAGAGAGAGAGAGATAGATAGATAGAATAGAGAGAGAGAGATAGATAGATAGATAGATAGATAGATAGATAGATAGATAGATAGATAGATAGATAGATAGATAGATAGATAGATAGAATAGAGAGAGGGGGAAGGAGAGAAAGAGAGCATGAGAGAGAAAAAGAGAGAGGATTCTTTAAAAAGGGAGGCAGGGTTCGGCATGCAATAAAATACGATGCTACAAATGTCATAACATAAAAGAATGTGCAACATAATACCTACATGCACATGTAGTTTGAACAGGCCCGTAGACTACCCAAAAACATCGCCGTTTACAAAGGGAGAGGGAGAGAGAGAGAGAGAGAGAGAGAGAGAGAGAGAGAGAGAGAGAGAGAGACAGAC